AACGAAATTAATTTTTGTAAAATTTTCGATTTGACTACTGATTACTATCAGATGTTATCTATATCTATGTTGCTTGTATTTAGATTGACAATATCTGTAGCCTAAGGTCCTTTTTCATGAGGTTGGCTCTGAGTATTATGGAAAAAAAACGATTAAAATGTAAACAATCCTAATAAACAAACTCACAGAAATTCAAGCTCGTCTATTATTATTGTCATCGTTGAATTCAGACATTATTAGAGATATCCACACGAGGGTGCTCGTTTTTGTCGCAACCACGATTGAAGAGGAACGTCAAATAGGCCAAAACTTGTCATATATGTCACGGGTGCGAACGCCCCCTCAGTGTATTATAACTTTTTCGAACCCTCGCCGAGCGCCTGCGCAAAGCCCACATTGCTATCGATGACACGCTCAAAACTTCGTGTGTGTCTGTATTAAAGCAAATAAATATTTCGATTATAACTAACACAGTGGAGTGTTTGAATTTTATGTTCAAATAAGCAAGGAGTGTTAATCCAAATATATCTAACTCAATAACAAAAAATAACTCTTTAAAAGCAACATTTTTGTTAAAGATGTAGGTATATGCAACTATTTACAAGGAATAATCTCTAATTTTTAATAATTAGAAATTGGTATATTTTATAAAGGAATTGTAAAACCATTCGCTGTTAATTGAAAATAATCGAAATTTCATTATTGATATATAAAACATAGAATGAGATATTTAGATTTGTATGAACAAGTTGTAGTACGTCTTAAATATTTAATGTCGTAGTCTATACTTAAGAGAAACTATTTATTTGTAGTACCTATTAGTTTTACAGATTTAAGCTTCAGACCTTTTTTAAATTGATTTGCATTGATACCTTCGTGGTATATAACCCACGTTGTGTGAACATTAGTCAGACTCAAACACTTTCAATATTTAATATACTTAGTATAGAAGCATACACGTATATAACTTAAAAGAAGTAAAAGTTTTTAGCGCTACCTACCCTATTTCTCTTGGAGGTCTATCGCTATGCAAGGTCCTTAGTGACCTAAATCATTCTGTATATTTTAGTAATCGCTCAAATAATCAATTATCTTTTCACATCTGTGAAATAGCAAGAAGACAACTAAAAAATGCGTTAGGTACATGTCGTAAGATATTGTGATTACTATGCGTATAATAATTTTTGATTATTATTAACTCAATGTAAACGTTTTAAACCATCAAGTATCGTCCAAAATTAGTGCAATTTATGGCAAAACTACGTGCAAGGGTGGCACGCGAGTGCAATCTTTATGAATGGTATTCCCATTAATATGGCTTTTATACCCAATCCTCGGGCTGGTTTTTTGCTCTATTGTACGGCTTTTTTAATGTTTGGTCAACGAGGGTCAGCTTTTTTTGGATCAATACCGAATCCTGATTGAGTGACAGCAACGGTCATTCGCAATCTGACATCTGCCGTTCAAGAACTAATTATTTTAATTTATAAAAAAAACTTATTCAGAACTATTGCTTAAAAACATTATAAGTAGATAAATATTTAAAAGAGATATTCCGAGATATTTAGAGAATAATTAATTATGGTTTTGTATAATAAACAATTTATTGTAGTCACGTAAGCGAATTTACATTAAATTTAGTTGGTGGCTGGCATTTTATGTGTGAAGTTATTAGTGGATACTAGGCGTTAGTAAAGTACTTATTTTGTATCGAATTTAGTGATTAATACATTTAATCTACAATACGGAACTCCAATTGCAATAGATAATTCTTGTGGTTTCGCAAGATTCAGTACACTTTATGTATATACGTTTTATATAAAAAAAAACTTTGAAATGGGTTAGCAATTATTTTAAGAATTTTTTGTTCAATTCTACTAAACAATGATTGTAAATAAATCCAAACGGGTCGAGCCTTATTAACGAATGCTTCGGGCAAACGCCACACATCTCGCCGACACGCGTCCGATTATGTTTTTTGTGTTAGTTTTTTCATTCTTTATTTTTTATTTATCTCAAAAAAATCTCCCCCTATCAACAAAATAGCTGGGACCTTTGATCTTTCGATTCGAGCTTATTAAATGTAAATATTTCATGCAGAATTATCGTGGCTGAGCACTGATATATTACGAAATATGTCGACGTTTTTAATAAAATGCCTAAAACACTTTATTGTAAAGTTTTATGTCGGAAAAATATTACATATGTTTAAAATTTAATATTGGGCAGATTTTATGAAATATTTTTAAATTGAAGTTTATTTATTGTTTAAGATCAGAGTTATACAGCACTTTATCCTTTAAGTATTTTAAACTGTCAATTTTAGGTCTTGTTAATTATTTTTGTTAGAATTTATCAAGAAATTATACTATAATATATTATACTATAATTCCAATAGAAAGTTTTGCCAGAAAAGCAAAAAAAAAATCGGAGCATTAATGTGCGGTCCTATTTGAGTTGTGGGGTAGGTCAGGTAAAGATAGTGTGGCCATAAAGATGTGCGTAGTAGAGAAAATATTTATTATACGTTTTATTTTATATTTCTTTAGGATATTATACATTTATAACAAATTTTGATTAATAAATAGTAAAAAGATGACTAAACTACACATAGTTAAAAAAAAGTTTTATGAATCTTATCGTATTTAGTTCAATTTCAAAATATCAGACATTTCGAATTCTGTATATTAATGGTAGTGGTCGGTCCGAAACTAAATGAAAGCTGTACGAAGCTTTAGTAATTTTATTTCATAATTTGAGATGAAGTGCGTAACCGTGACACGCTCTGAACCTGGACTAGTGGCCAGTATATAAAATTATGACGACAATTGTAGCCCACAATGTCACTGAAAACAAACAACTCTCTTTCACTTAATTTTATTTACCAAAAGTATTCTAAGTCTGATACTTGACATAACAATTGACTTAAGATATCGAGTCCAATAAATATAGTAATACGCGTTATATAAGTAATTGTACATGTTACCGAGTTGTATGGAAGTTGTCTCAGTGGATGCGGAAATTATGGTATTGCTAGTTTAGCGTTTCGTCCACGAGCTGACCAGCAGATGTGCGAAGGCCGGCTGTTTCAATTCACTCTCACACTGCGCATGCGTTGCTAACAACAAATATGGCAGACTTATTTTCGCAGGCATTAAACAATGAATCTTCAACCGTTTATCTCGGATATAATGCCCCAGTCATGTACATAATATAGAATATCTTTATTGTTTATCAAATTTTGGATTTTTAATTAAGTTAAAATATGTAATATATTATGGGTGTGTATGCGTATTTTTTTTATGTGAATCAATTATTATTAGCAATAGTTGCCTCTTCGGCGTAGGTCTCTGCTAAACGTTTCCATATGTCTCGTTTTCGTAACGCCAATGGTTCCAAGAGACAAGAGACAAAGTCAAAGGTGGAGAGACACTCTTCAACCTAAGATGTGCACCCCTACGGATGCGGTAGGCATGAAAACGAGCCTCAGTCATATACATATTTCAAATTAAAAGGAACTAATTGAGTGTCGATTATTCACACATTATCCTCATCAATCACCGAATTCTAATGTGATAGTGGGAAAATATGTTTAATTGAATTGGATATTATTTATTGAATTTCATTGAACAATTATATTTTATCGGCCAACTTTGCAAATAGGTGTTTAGGAAATAAAGCACTGCTTTGTTTTTAACAAGTTGTGTTACGTACTATCCGTAGATAGTGCCATCAATATTTTTTTGCTTTTAAAGTTTTTTTAATAAAATATTAAGGTATCCCTTTACCGATACTCTTAAGATTTATAATCTGTATGTTAAATATAATTTCGCTAATAGATCATAATTAATAAAGACCTTATTTCTAATTTACAATAAATTATCTCTACAAAGGGCCGTGCAAGTGTTTCATGGGACTTCAACATTCTAATTTTATTTTACAATCCTTCCAATTCTAAACACGTGGTATATATAGCAGTAGTAAACGCATTTAAAAAAACAAATTATAGTTGTAAAATTTATTGAATTAACTCGAATATTAAATGTTGATAAACACATTTCAGATTGTTGAACTCCCACGTCAACATCCTATGCGGAGATAAAATCCGTACAATAGTTGTAATTATTATTTTATTATGAATTGTTTTAATTGGTTAATTTATCTGTACCTTTTCCGGCCACCATAACCACAACCACTAAGATATAATAAAATATTAAAAAAAAAAAAAAGCCAGTACCCTTTAATTTTCTCATGTCTGTCTGAATTTAATGCACAATAGAAGTTTCAAATGCGTAATAGAAACAACAAAAAACTTTTTTCGCTTTTTTCCCCTGCATTTCCGATAATAATAATACACCAGTAGATCCCATGAAATAATAAATCTACTTGTAAAATTTCCTAGATTAGAGACTCATAATAATATTTACCGACATAAACGTAGCTCTAACGTACTAAACACATACCAAATGTAAATAAAAAAAAAATTCAACGCACATTATATTTAAAAATAGCAGCAACTAACAAACAACAAACTACTGATAAGTGGTTCTTATTTATTTCACGCACGTCGTATTAGCTATTTTGCTGAAATTTCGTAGTTATTAAATAATATAGGTTAAGATTAAGGTAAAGGAATATTACGGGACCTCCATTTGCGTTGACCAAATGCGTGCTGGTGCCAACGTCCCTTCCTCCGCTTCGCCTAAGCTGCGCGTGCCCGGCCCTCGCGGAATACCACGCAGTCTTTCGCAAATCGCCCGGCGAGTTACGTCTCTGGAATGAATAAAATAAATACCCATATTTCTCAATATCCTGATACGGGTACAAACGAGTCACCGGTCGAAGTTTAGAACGCGACCTTGCGCTGAAAACAGTTCAAAGTGACGAGTTCGTCGTGGTGATTTTTTTTATTGTGCCAAAAAACTTTGCGTCGTTTTAGTGATACACGGTTATGTGGTGACACGCCTGGTGATCGAGAGGGGTGGGCTGCGCTTAGATACATGAAGGGTGAGTTTCATATGTATCCGCTTTCTAAATGTAAATCGGCCGACAATACATATTTCCATAACTACTACAATTTCGCAAGAATCCCGTTTGCAAGTAATTAATTTCGAAATTTGACATGACTTAATATAAGAAGCATAAAATGGCGCCTAAACCTCAAAAATACTTTTAGTGACGGAAACGAAAAATGTCTCCTTTACTTGCTTATGTGCTCTTATTATTATTATTTTATTTTATTAAAGTTTATAAGTTGTCACTTATTTACAATAATAGGGTTTGGCAGATTGGAAAGTACTTATTTAGCCAATCCCACATATACTCAGACAAAATGTTCTAGCCTTTAATCATTTTATAATACTTTTTCAATTTTTATTTTTATTACAGGCTTTATTACAAAATTTCATAAAAATAAAAATTATTTTCTTATAGGAATCTCTTTACAGTTTTAGTGTTATAATTATTGTAAATACATAACGGATACAATCTTATAGCAGTGGAGTTCTAAATGATGTAAAGATACCTATTGTGGCCTGACTTTATAGCAAGTGTAAAAATAATCAGTTTACAATATATTTTACAGTTACAGTTTACAATATATACAATATATTGCGGCAAATTAAAACATAATTTCATCATTAAAATATGAACATAAAATAGAACAGTAATATAACAATCAATCTGAGTCCGTACTATATTATATAATAATGATACAATTTATTTATTATTTTCATTATTTATTTTAAATAAAATAATTTAATGTTTTGTGTATTTGATATTTCTGAAGTACCTAGTTCTACGGATGTCAAAATTAGAGTGATGTTTTATTATGGAGAAAGCAAGTTAACCTTGCATTCTGATATAATAAAATCTAAAGTATTGTTTGGTAGATTTATAGTTCATATCTATACTGATTTAATAAACATTATTTATGTTTATCCTTTTTTATTTTCCATTCGATATGTCATGAATAATAACAAATTTTATGTAAGCAATTGAATTTATTCGTTGGGCAGTTACAATTATATTCCATATTTACCTATTTAATAACGATATAGTTCTTTATTATATGTATTATTCCTTTGGCTGAAATGTAAAACAAAAAAAAAATATATCCAACACGATAATTTTCCAAATGATTTACAACATAATTAATATGTATTCCAGGCACGTATTGCCGTTGCATGTATAAAGTTATTGACGAATTTTCGGTTTGATCATTCACTTTAAATTTTTTTAACATGATATTAAAAGTCAAAAGTGAAATACTATTTCATTAAAACTTATATTTCACGGATTAACCTTGTATCTGTTGGTTATTCTTCTAGCTGTAATTAAATCCTACCCCAGTGAAAACAGAACTTAAAACAACATTTTAAAAGTTCATATTTATGCGTTGCGACAAAAAAAAAACCAAATATTTTCAAAAACAACATAAACAAGATTTTGAAACAGTGCATTCGAACTTTCAAATCCCAATAAGAGTAAATGTTATTGAGTAACTAATTAGAAAAATAAAAATTCTATTTGGACTCTACATAATGCTTGTTATAAATCATAAGTGAAGCAATATGAAGTTAGAGATAAGTAGGTATATGCATAAAAGTCATTAAATCAAGATAATGATAGGTTTAAGATAACAAAACAATGACGTAATATATGTGATTTCGGTCTAATATTCATTGATGTACATTATGTCAAACTTTATGCTTAACGTGGATAGAGAAGTGAAAGACCGCGTTTATTATATTTATATATTAACACTAGCAGACCCGACAGACGTCTGTAAACAAGGCTGAAATGCAAAAATAGCTTATAAATAAAAAAATGTGGTCCGAATTGTGAATCTAAACCATTTTCGAACCGACCTGAAGACGCTCATTAAAGTCGGTAAGCCAGCCGCTTAGGAGGAGTTCAGTGACATACACACGTACAGAAGAATTATATATATAAAGATAATTACTATATACAGTGTTCATACTGAGTAAGTATTAAACATGTATTAAAATTTCAAAGACAAGGAAGTCCTTGGCATGGATCAAAGAAAGGTACTTGCTTTTTATATAGAAAAAATTTTTTTTTTAAATACCTTATACGGTGGTAGGGCCACGCAGCAGCCTCGGCTGTTGCACGAATGGGCAGGCCCGTCTGGGTCCAGGTAAGTATGACAAATACTTTCGCGTTTCGTCTGGTGAGTGAGGTAGCCGGAGCCCAATTTTCAAAATCAACGCATCTGTAACCCTCGAGTGTAGCAGATGTCCATGGGCGGCGGTATTCACTTAACATCAGGTGAACCGTCTGCTCGTTTGACAACTTTTCGCATAATAAAAAAAAAAAAAAAAAAAAAACCTACAGTATTTGATTTATCATTATATATATATATATATATATATATATATATATAATCCTAATATTGCATTAGGATTTAAAGAATTTCCTCTGTATAATATTATCTAGACTTATAACATCTGCTCTTTAGAGACGGTCAGATTTGCTATTTAGAAATGTTTAAAAGAATGCAATTGAAAAGTCTCAGTTGTCGAGATCTAGCTCGTTCGTCATTTAAAATTATTTATAGTACACCATTGGAGTTATTGTGGTGCTAGGTCTCAAGAACCCGTAATGACAACGCAGGCAAATGACGCGCAATTCAGATTTATCCATTATCAAAGAAAAATTTAAAATTGCTGGAAACAACTGATATTCAAATAGCCGTAGCAAAAATATATAGTAAAACTAATTATAGTTTTTAAACGCCTCATCGGATTTGAAGAATGTCCTTTGTAAAATATTATAAGATATCTATTTTTGTATTTTATTATATTGTGGCTTTCATGTCAAAAAAGTGTAGGCCGCTTTTCCTGCCATCGCTCCCTGAACGACATCATCCGGTAGGGCTCTTGTCTCCATCAATACTCCTTCTATTTTAAAGCCCTGTGGCATATTCCGTGATGATGGCAAAATACCCGACGGCTTGATCTTGGTCCCTTGGAAGAGAGGCAAAGCCCTCGTTTGGGATGCTACTTGTATGGATACTTTGGCTGCCTCTCATCTAAGTGGTACTTCGGTCAGGGCCGGAGCGGTAACGGAGGCAGCTGTTGTAAGTGGCGCAAATATAAGCTTCTGGGTTCAGATTAAGTATTCGTACCATTTGCAGTTGAATCGTTAGGTGCATGGGGTCCGTGTACATCCAAATTTTTGAAAGGTTTACGTTCTAAACTATCGCCGCAACTGGAGACAAGAGGACTGATTCATTTCTCGCTCAAAGGTTGAGCACAACTATTTAGCGAGGAAATACGGCTAGCGTTCGTGACACTGTGCCGCGTAGATTTGTGAGATAATACGAAATTTAGTTAGTTTTAATGTTGTTTAATTTAATATTGATTAAATTCACACTTCTACTAAGACAGCACTTTAAAGACTGCAATCGATCTTCACAATCACAAAATCGACAATTTCATAGGTAAAGTCATATGATATAATATGTTTTTGTTTTCATTATTATGTTTTTCCTGTGACTGAGACATATTTTAATATAAGGCATAGACAAAAACACTATATACTTATGCATATAGTTGTGGGATTAAACCTGTAGTCACTTAGTCAAACCCGAAGCCTATATTTTTGCAACCGTTATACCAACCATCCTACTTCATTTAAAAGAAATGAAAAGGGTGTATCGGAATTAAAGAAAATTATAATCTGTCTTGTGTGTTCATGTACTAAACGTTCGCGTAAAACTTTATTGCGCCTGGGCACATCTGTGCATGAATTTAGATTTTTCACTTGAGGCTATCAAGTGAAAAAATCTAAATATCCTTTCACAAAAACATATAAAGAGTGTAATTCGAAACTATAGTAAATAAGGCAGGAAGTAAATTAGAAATCGATATGAAATTACCCTTCCACGCAGATCACATGTATATACTGTTGATTTCTTGTGTTAACACATATAATATAGATGATTAAATGAAAATATTTTATGAACTATAATGCGTTTTATTTTGATTTAACCATCATTTAACGTAACCATGAACGATGTAAAGGGTTCGAAACATTTTTTTTTTTATGCCAAAAGTTGCCAAACGAGCAGACGGGTCACCTGATGTTAAGTGAATACCGCCGCCCATGAACATCTGCTACACCCGAGGCTTACAGATGCGTTGACAACCTTTTGAAAATTGGGCTTGAAATTGAAAATTGACATCAGGAATTTAAAATCAATGTATAAACTATAGAAGTTTATACAGCCATTTTAAAATTCGAATAATTTCCAGCGTTCATGGTCAAAATTAAAATGCGATAAAATACGTAAAATATTACATTGTTACAGATCTCGTAAAAAAAAAGCAGATAAAATGCATTAGATGCGTGTGTACCACGCAAGTTTGGTGTACTGCGGCATTTGAGTTTTATCCACCGTGTACAGGTGTACTCGCATTCCAGATTGCACGGTGTGCGCCGCGGCGGCGGCTGCGGCGGCGGCGGCTGCAGCGGCGGCCGTTGCGGCTGCCAACTGGGCCTCCGCTTGCGACGTAGAGGTCAGCAAGCTCCACAACGCGACCTACCTCACCAACGGGGCGGTCAATGGAGACATCGTATACAGAAACGGTGGGTTTATCGTCTACGGCTTTGTTGTACCTTCGCCCAATGACCCGTTCCCTGGTTAAAACGAAAATATAAATAAATTAATAATAGCATTTGTAAGAAGTAGACAGTAGGTAGCTTAATTTAAGTAATAATAGAACCCGTTGATTTTTTAATGTTGAAAACGTTTAAAGTATAAAAGTGTTACTGTTTTAATTTTTGAATATCTGTTTAATAAAAACACTTGCGAATAGAAATACTGTACAATATATGAAAATATTTAACTTTTAAAAACTCTTTTATAAAAGTTGAATATTAACTACATTATTATAGACTAGGTTAAAAGTAAATTCATTGTCCGTTTTCTAAAGACTGCCAGAGAAATATCATAAATATCCTGGTTTGTTTGAAGAGAAAAACCATTAATAAATGTGATAATTTTAAGGGGTATAGAGATACCACATTTTCAGAAGTGCGATACAGTTTGTAAGTGTCAGAAATCTTTATCCGGACGCCGCTAGCTGATATGAAAATTAATGTTATCGGTAGAACACACAGGTTTATTAAAATTGGCACATTAATTATGAAAAATTAAATATTTACATAAAGAGATTTTATCAATAATTAGGAGGACCAAGAAACTGCGTTCGCTGTTGTGAGATTAGCCCGGCCCTTCCTGCAAAATTCAGCCTTACAGAAGGCTGATATGAAGTTAAAATATAATAAATTAGTCGATGAGTCCATATTCTGAACTTTTGAAATTGTTAAATCATCAGCTAGCCGTTAGCTATTTCGCTACCTACTCACATAAAAAAAAAATCTACAATGATTTAACAATTTCAAAAGTTCAGAATGTTAAGCAATAATCACCGCCCATTGACATTTGGAACACCCGAAGGGTGCAGATACTTTGGCATTTAATTCCGTGAGTGTATTCCGGAGCTCGCCTGTTAAGTGGTTAGCAATGATGTGTTGCACTATGATGTTGTGCTGGTTATGTGAAGACTGCCACAGTCTTCACTTAACCAGCAGGAAAACAGCAACACTAAGATTGGTGACTTGCAACACCAATTCATTCTAATTGGGTTGACCCCTTGCGGAGGACATCGTTGTATCTCTCAGCATTTCATATTCCATTTTCTAAGCATGTTCTGTGGCGTTGTTTTAATTCACAGCTTTAGATTTTTATAGTTTTAAATACCACCGAATTCATTTTTACTCATTGCAATTACCGGTGTACCATTATCAGTAAGCTACAATGCGGCTTTCCGTATAGAGATAATTTCAAGCCTCTTAAGAACTTCTTGAGAAGAGAGATCACTCTTTTTGCAAATATTTTGTAAATGTGATAGAAAATTCATCAGATTATACAAGACTACAATAAATTTAGTAGCCTATATAAAGTTCTTTCTAAACTTGCATATCACCTATCATTAATCTTTAAACTGTGTTTGGCACGTGTAGCAGCTTTTAACTGTTATTTGAATAATTTCTGGTTCATACGCTGATTACTGAATTCCTGACTAAAGTAGAAATATTCTTGTATTAATGTCTTGTCTTTTAAGCGACGTTAAACGTTAACGTCTTAAAACTAAAAGAAAATAATAACATAATGCTATAAACGATGTAATATTTTAATAATTTTATTGATGTAATATTTGTATACAACTTTAGGTTGAGTACGTACCTAATTAGTTTTATACCAAATTTATAACAAATGTGGAGCTAGCCTTTCACTATAAACATATTTCTAGACATTTTACTTTTTTTAAAAGTTATTAATGGAAATTTTCTACAAAAAAAATATGTAAATAAGTGCGTTTCTTATTTATTCTGAAATCCATTACAATTAATGTTCACCACCCTTATGTGTACTGGAAAACGCCTCTATTAAAATGTTACGTCATGATCATGTTCCACTTTAGTGCGTTTTATAAACGCCCATCTGCTATGAAATACCCATAGATGTAGCTGTACGTGCCACTAGTGCCATCTAGCGTTACTTATTAAAACAAAATGTTTTAATGAGTTTGATCAACGGTAGAGTTTTATAATTCCGTACCGTGGTAATAGATGGCGCGGACAATAATTAATCTTTGTTTTAGTCAGCTTCAATTATTTACAAGAAAAATCAATAATACTTACTAATGAGGAGTGAATTTTAATAGTTTGGCTCAGTTCTCAAAATCATTTTCATTAATTGTTTTGTTTATGACTCAACCTTACAGTAATCGTTTCCATGAATTGAATGACTAAATTTTAGGCAAAAATTTTTATTGGACTCTTGACATTACTTCCGAACTAACAAATTCCACGAAAATAATTGTTTGTTAATATTAAAGAAGGGGAAGTGGCCCACATTTTAAATGAATAACTCGATCAAATTCGTTTTATATTTGAACGATAAAAAAGTAGTTCGCAAACTAGCCCTTAATACAGGGAGAAGAGATTGGAGAAAGTGAACGTGACAATCAGTCGAGTTTCATTATTTTCGAAACTTGTTATTTTGTGACTATTGTTGGCCACTATTCATGCATAATCATTCGTGGATTAGATTACAATAAGACCGACGGGTGAGTTCGTCAGAATGTGACGTTTTGATGAAGGGGACTTCCGACACCGTTTAGGGTTGAAGAGAATTTCCTGAATAAATTTCGTCTCTTACACTGGTCGTGATAAATCAGGAAATGATGACGAAGACAAATGCAAAAAAATATATTAAAGCGTTATTAAATTATAATGATAACATTTTAAATAGTTGTTTAATTTATTATCAAATTAGAACGCTCACATAGGCACTATTAGTTTAGTTATGGAGAGAAACTACATTAGTATGCCAGTGTTCTAAATTATCATCCACTGACAACTCGTGCAATTTGAAGGCCTTTTAGGCACCAATGCACATTATGACTAATGTTTCATTTACGTTAAGCATTTACAGAATGGTAGAACATGTCATACACAAACTTAAACTTAGGTATCTGTTGATGACCCTTCGTGGCTTGCTTGACCTGTTTGTGGTCGTCGTGTGATTGCTGCAAGAAAATCCTATAAGCAAAGAAATTTCTATTTTCTATAAAGAAATTTGTTTGAACTACATCTTTCATCTCTACTCATGAATCTATGTCACATAACGCTAAAGAAAAAGTTGATTTTTCAGAAATCTTTTTTGAACTTGATTTTATTGTCGGTAATAAAGGCTCTTCAATAAGTGTCCGGATTCCACAAATTTCAGCGTACTCTTTCTCTCTATTTATTTTCACAAGCCTGATTTTTAGGCCAGACTGGGCACTTGTTTTAGTCATCTTTTCTGATACTCTTAATATAAAGGCGACATAGCCAAACTTCTGGAACGCAGGGGCACTTAAAAATTAAGTTTTTTAACAAAAAATAAACGACTTCAAAAAACTCTATTATATATATATTTAGATTTTGAGTAATACTAGCGATCAGCCCCGGCTTCGCACGTGTTCAATATATTTTACATATGAACCTTCCTCTTGGATCACTCTATCTAGTAAAAAAAACCGCATCAAGATCCGTTGCGTAGTTGTAAAGATCTACGCATACATAGGGACAGACAGACAGCGGGATGACTTTGTTTTATATTTTGTAGTGAAGACAAGAACGTTCCATGGTTTAGTTTCTACGTTAGTTTTCGCCAATGTTATGAACGATTCGATTTGAAACATTTGAGAAGAGTATTGTTACATATAAAGTGGCAAAGCTTGTATGTAATGTTCACCGCGGGCGCCGATCATTCATCATCATGTAAGTCATTTGATTACCACCTATTCTACAAAAACAACGCTGCTGAACAGCACACATACTTGATCATAGTAATGATTAAACATCGAATTAAAGCCTGTATTTGAACCTATCACGATTAAGTACTTTTTAACCAACCATCAATCTACAATGCCCGTAGCACCTGTCAAGATAATTATTTTATATCTATTCGCATTAATGATTTTGTAACAACTATATGTCCGTAATATGTTCGCCGATGCAACAGACAGGTGTTTCGGTATCGAATGCTGCAGGTGAGGGTTAGGGTTCGAAAGCTGCGTGCTTTCTCAGAAGGGAAACGGGTCCACTTGATACGTATCGTCGAATTGCCTTCTGTCACATTATTTCTTATTAATGATATGCAAATTGAGAGCAATAACTTAATATTGAGCTATTAATCTACTTTCCATGTTAATTGCTTGGATATAAAACAATATTTCTAAAAGAGAAGCGACGGTATCGTATACATAAATGTATGTATAGAAATTCCGAGAATTTAGCTGAGAAATGTTCTAAATGTTCTATATTTCTTTCGTATTCTATTTGTATTTGAATTTTTGTATTAAATTAGATTACTGGTAAAAGTATTTTTTTTGTTTATTATGTACTTGTGCAAGTAAAAATTTCATCATCATCATCATCATCATCAAGTTAAAATTTTGAGAGAAAGTGTTTCGCTGGCAATTACTAAACAAATTTTATTGTTAATATTAATAAAAAATATATTAAAAGTGTTAGTATATGATGCTCATTATAAGTCATGTACAGAATATCACCATATAATCTGAAGCTGAAGATTCTAAGGAACAAAAATAGATTTTTTCGTGGCGTACGCATTTGTGTATTCAAACATTGTAACCAATGAACGTGTTTCATTTGATATATTTTTTATTTTTATTAGGAATGCTAACTGGAAAACATATATAAAAATACATAAGATTAAACAAAAGACCAAAAACAGAGGCATATATTCTTGCCAATTATAGGTATACATAATTTTTATTTAAGTTCGACTAATGTTACAAGAAAAACCTTATTTGTATCTAAACTAACTATACCAGTATAAATAAAATTATGAAAAAAGGCAAGAATAAAACAGAAAAGTACTACAGAACTCACAATTGATATTCATACTCATCAAAAGGAAATTTACTATATAAAATGTAGTATACAATTTCTACAAACTCCAATATTTATAGCTATGCCCTATATTATTTTGGATAATCCAAGTTATACTACAGGTTTGGGGTTAGTTATAGAAAAAAAGATTCGTACGGACGGGTAAAAACACAAATTCTCTATAATAAACTTCCTCTATCTAAGGGTTCTAAGGCATACATGCCCCTTGATATTTTTAAGAATAGACATAAGTATATATTTCAATGTACATATCTCTCATTGTGGAATAAATAAACGAGACCGCATAAGCACAATGGCGCGGATAAATTGTGCTTTAAAGCATTCAGTTAGGCTTATTAAAACCAAGCTTTAGATATAAACATGGTTGGATGATGTTTCAGGTGTGTTAATGTTTTATTGTTCAGTTAATACTCAATTATTTATTTAACCTTCATCAATGATATTTTATTGAAAAAATATTTGATAACAAAATCAATAAGGATTTTATTTTAGAGTTAAAGCGTGTACACAAAATGTATTTTATGCGTGAATTTGTTTTAGTGTTAAGAACTGTGAAGTGTAAATTGTATAAGGCCGGGATTTTTATGACAGAATACAAGTTAATAAGACGAAAAAAAAATTATGTTGGCTTTGCCGCAAATTAATTCATGTAAAGTTATAATTTTTCGTTTGGTGTAATTTCTTATGGTCCGATTAAATTATTGAAACAAACCTGACGGTTCTATTTTTTTATACTATGTACATACTATTACTATTTAATAATAGTGCAAAAAATATCCAAATTTATTATTAGCTGACTATTACCTTAGTTATATTCTAATTATCAACTTAAATAAGATGAGATTGCCCATTTTACTTGTTGTTAAAAAATTAGAGGTGAAAAAGTATATATAGTTAATAACGATATTTGTTTGTCAATAAAAGATGGGGTTTTATGAGACAATACAATATGTTAATTATAATTATCATCAAAAAATTTATAATAAATTAATTAAATGTGTATCGACAAATTTTACATTAATTATTGGAAATTATTTACATCGCTGATTGGTATTCATATAACATAAACTGTTTTGAGTAAACCGAACTAAAAAGCTTAAATTTTTTTCATAAAAATCATTTTCTGTATTTTCTTAATAACTACGCTGGTCGAAGAAAGATCATTTTTAAACTATTATTTTTTTAACAGAAATAGCATAGCTAGTTAAAAACAAAAAAGATTTCTCCCCGACGAACGTGAAAAGCAAAAGCTACTCGGAACGCAGATCGTTTTCGAAGCTTTATATTTTTTATTCCCGACGCGTCTGTAGGTTCGAAGGTATGAATAATCGAACAACGGCACAGCGCCTTACGTTCGTTGTACGTTCCCGCGCCGTAGCCGTGATCGTGAGGCCATCGACGGCTCCGCGCCGCCAAGTGACATATTTCGGGTTGGGGTAAAGCTGCGGACGCTTTCGGGCGGCGCACACGTTCCGTTAGCTTCTCTATTTTAAAAGCTACTCGCCCGACGATATCCGGGAAGGGTCCGACCGCACCGCCGCGCCGACTACGCACCACTAGCGATCGTTTTCTATGCAGTCGGCCTGCGTCCGCGTCGCTGGCCGCTCCGCGCGCACGCGCTTACCTCCATGCACCGAAAACATTTTTAAGAGGCGTTGTATATTAATGGAATCGAACGCTTAATGAACTTAACAGAACAAGTGGCTTCAGTAATTTCGCGGAGGATGCACGCCGTGCCGAGGTGATATCAGTGGTGCAAGTTACGTTTCATCTTGACTAACATGAGCGGGCGGGAAGGCGGAAATGCAGTTCCGTCTTCGAGTAAGTACCTATTCTGATATTTAAAAAAAAATCTCTACCGCCGCACGGTGTTTTCTTTACGCGCGGCGCGCCTGTATGTTGGTGTTTGTTGTATTTATCGACGCACGTGGTGAGGGGTGAACGTTCCTATAATCAACTTGTGTTAAAAGCTATTGCAAGCGTTGGAACTTGTCTTGGAACCCTTATCGAGCGGATGTGCTCGCAGCGCCTGGGAAGGCAATTATAGAAATTTTTTACAACTGAATTAAATTAATTAAATTGAGGTTAATAGTCTCGTTTCATTGATGTCGCACATATGTGTGCCATGCCCGCTCGGTGTCACTGTATTTTTTTGCTGCGCGTTGATGATCTTGTATTATCAGTATCAAGTACGAGGCGTATTTAATTATAACTGATTCTTGTACAAAAGTGACATATTTACATATTAGATCGTAAACATCTGTGTCCGTCTTCTCGTGTACATACCAGATTTTTATTTGTAATATTCTTGTTTGCATACTTTACAAAAATGTATAATTTAAAGAATTTCTTGACTGCATCATTTCTCGTATCCCAAAACATGTTGATATGTGTACAGCCAGTTAACACCATCAAATAAATTTAGAAAGGAGTTTGTAAACGGTTTATCGAACAGGGTACGCATCGTGCAGTAATTGTTTACTATGCTAACCATACGACTCCGTTTATATTACTTGGGCTCATGCAACCCGTATGCATTATAGATATCTCTGTAAACTTCAACTTTATCCCAATGGCATTAAGGTGGATAACCACTGGTTTGATATTTTTATAAATAAGTGTTAGTTGCCGAGTTTTGTGCGCGTTATAGTTGACTGCATTTTTGAAGACTTTAATCTTCCTTTCCCCTTCCCCGCCACTGTTTTATTACGTGTTTTTGTCTTTGACATACCGAACTGATAGTGACGAACTTCTTATCGATAGTACGCTACTCGAACACTTATGTCATTAATTTTTTTCTTGGATTGAGACAAATAATAGTTTATTCTGTAGAAACAAATTACATATTCAAACTATAACAAACTTATGAAGCTTGAATGAAGTAACATTAGAATAGTATAAGGTGGATATACGTGTTTCCGAATGGAATTACTGTACATTGAGAGTTACAGAGGGACTGCCTATTTGGAATTTTTAGAAAGTCGATGTTAAGTAATGCTCGTCCCTACGACGGGGTTCGAGTTGGTAACCAGTCAATTAAATCTGAATGGCGGCACATTGGACTGTCTCTTTCGCTCCTAGCGCGGTTCCCGGACCATAAGCGCCACTTGACGATGATTCATGTACAAATTCCTTACCTGCGTATATTGATAACAGTCAAAAGTAGTGAATGGGGAAATGTTTTAGTTCATTTCCAAGTGATCGGCGTTATTAATTTTAATAAACGATCCAAGTCTTGTTCCGTATCTCTTGGTTTCGTTTCGTCATCAAGATTACGTGGTTATTGAATTAAAATAATACATAAACAACGAAGCTTTAAAATTTTAACAGCGTTAACTACGCAAAAACATTATCATCGGCCAATATGATTTAGCTCGGATAAATATTCATTAGGCCATATTTTTTTCCGCGAAACGTTTCGTTGTGTACAGCAAAGTGTGTTCACCATGCCCCAAAATTTACGAATAAAATGGTCAAACTTGTTTTTTGTATTTACGCGAAGCTCTTTAAAGTGCCGAAACCCTTTGTTCGTCATTTGTTTATAACCTATTCTATATGTTTTTTGAATGTACTTGGGAGGAAGTCGTAAAAAACATAATTAAGATAACGATACATGTCTTCTATATTGATTTAATAGTACAACGTTACAAAATTCCGCCCTATTTAGCGTTATCAATAAATAAAACTCGATAGCCCCTTTAGCGACGACTTGCATCATTCACATACACATACTTACATTGAAACTTAGTGCTCGTTCCTGGTCTTTAATTTAAACTGAAAATAACACTAAGTATTCGTATTATGCGGAGTACACTTAATAAAATCGTTCAATTATTTTTTTGTCAGTGCATCCCCACATTAATAGTACTCTGCTGGTCGCGAGATTGACTTAAAATATTCCCAATATTTCCCCTTCCTGCTTCGAAAATAAGTCGAGACGAAATTAGATACTGGTTTCCAAATAGCTAATATACGTAATAGCCGAAGAAACTAACACGAGGAACTAACGAGAATGTCGGAATTTCCTCTTACGCATAACGTTCGACGAAGTTTCTCTTATATATTTCAGCGAGCGAAAATAAACTAAAACTATTCGTATGCATATCAAAAAGTCTGAAACCATCAAAATCGCGACCGATTAAGCTTGCGACAATCGCCCGAAACGTTCCACTGGTCGCTTTAATGGGCGAATATTTTGTTAGCACACATTCGTTGGGTCGGGCCGTTGGAATGCAATCAGAAGTCAAGCGTGCATATGAAGTTTGAAATTCCGAAGTGCGTGTTGACGTACAGCGTGGAATGGGGCATGGATGCGGGCGGTGTGGTGGCCGGAGGGGGGCGGGGGAGGGGGGGCAACCCGGCGTCTCACGCGCACCATGCTGAGTAAACAGAACAGATACACGGGTCAGATGCGCCGTGCTACCGGCTGCTGCACCTTCGCCAGCCAGTTTCAGGCCAGATCCGAAATAAGTTTCAATAAGTTTCGGCGGCAAAAACAAGTCCGCTGTTAGCGTATTATGATATATCCGTATCGAATCCGTGTCTATGGTCTCTAATGTTAAGTTCGCGTCAACGCGATATATGTTGTCTGATTGGTCCCCACCATCAATTAGAGAGCGTTGGCAAAGAGAGATACACAATACAGAGCTTCAATCAGACAGCTATTAAATGGAAACAGTATTTTAAGTTTTTTTGTGTGCACGTAGATTTTTTTTATTTGATTCATTACATAAACAGCACGTGGCTTGGATTGTAAATATTGATACTAATTTATGACGATTCAACCCAGTGTCTATGAATGATGATGACGCAACCCGCAGCTACTCCTTTATTACAAAAACAAAGTACAATATATATAACAGTACTACGATATTTTGTAGTAACTGTAGTTGTATTTTCTATTGAGTTAAATTTAATATATCCGTATTTTACTGTAAACATCCAAACAAGTTTTCTCTATAACTGTTTCTATTTTTGTGGTAAACCTTTGAAGTTTCGAGTGCGTTTATGGAGCGAATGTATGTGAATGCGCTCGTCCCAATTTACTTGAAGTCAACACGTCACTTTTACCGGAATGCCCTGTACAAATATTACCAACTCCCTTCAGTTCATTACGCTAACTCGACTGGAGAGAGCTTTTGTTTGTGTGTACGTCTCATTCAGTCGAAGAAAGTGGAGCGAACGGGTAATACGTTAATGAAGTCTAAAACATGTCGACTATTATTTATATCAACAGGTGAAAAAGGTATATTTTGTAATCCTCAGAAGATGTAAAATGCTAGAGACAAGGGACCGCAAACACTTTCAATGGTACAACTCTACTCTACTAATGGATTTTAATCATGAAAACAATGCATCACAGCAAATTTTCGAATGTATATTCGAGTAAATAAGCTACAACGTACTACAGTAGTTTAAGCTTTGTACCTTTTTCTAGAGTATCTTCCAATATATGTTATAATGTAATAGTAAATCCAATATTTACTTCGGTTAACAAAATTAATTAAAAATAAATTACAATCGTAAGCCTTTACCCCGATTTTTTGTGACATTATAGTAAAAATAGCGAAATATACAGTTGTACAGTTAAAATATAGGGACTTAACCACGACTCAATTCTATTACTGAGCAATACTAACATTTGAAACAATTTCTAAGTGTGCACGGGCAGACAAATGCCGCTCCACCAACGGAGCGGTATTCCGAAAATGCGTATGACGAAACAGAACCCGCACGAAACCCGAAATGAATGTTTACGCTTTCTCATTAATTCAGCGCGGGGAATAATAAATATTGAGTATCTGGCGTTGGACTTGGGTCGCGTTGCCGCGGCGACACGCCGCTCCGGACCGCGCCCGCGCAGGCAAGGTGCAGTGTTGCGCCAATGAATGAAGAGGTACCAGAAACGCAACCTAAATACCGAGCATTCTTCGAGTCCCCGCCGTCGTCGCCACGTGTGCCGCTTTTACCTACCGCCGCCGCCCGAAATAATACGCTTAGCGTACCAACATACCGAATTAGCGAACCCGCGGCTCGATATTACTTTATCGATACATTTCGACTTCGGTCACATTTGAAGAACACGAAAATTCCTTCTCAGCACTGTATCAAGAGGGAAATGAAAACTTTCATTTCCTGTTTTAAGAGTTAGTACATCCAAAACAGTCTTCAAATATTTCACACACTAGACATTTTCTATTTGATTACCTCCCGGATTTCAGGGACAAATACCAATAAAATTAATATGGGAGTTAAGTCGAACCCAATGTAAATAATTTTCTCAAAAAAAAAAAACCGACTTCAAACAGGAAACTAATAAAACATTATCAACGCCTATAATAACATTTGAGGATTACCCTCGATTTCTCTGGGATGCCATCATCAGATCTGGGTTTCCTTATCATGGAACCAACCTTGGGATATCTCCTTTCCAACAAAAAGAGAATCATCAAAACCGGTTCATAAATGACGAAGTTATCCCAGAACACACATAAAAAAATTGAAATATATACGGTCGAATTGAGAAACCTCCTTTTTGAAGTCGGTGAAAAAAAAAAATCAATTTTTAGATGACAAATATACAATTGAATTGAAAACATTCTTTTTTTGAAGTCTGTGGGAAAGAAAAATAAATACAATTTAAACGGTACGTCAATAGAAGCTGACTTTTACAAAATCTTTTAAAAGTAATGTTGTTATTTACATCCCACGGATATAAAAGAAGATAGAACATCAGAATGAACATGATTAATACGTGTAGTCATGGCAAACGTTTTACCTGTACCCGGTAGTTCGTTTAATAATCACTGGTGGTCATATTCTTTTCATCAGAATTCTCTCCGGAACTTAGTCATTGTCTATTCAACTTACATACCTATGTTTTTTTAGCTTGACAGGAAATATCATGTCGATTAGTCATTGAAGATCGGCGACTACAAAACTCGCCTTTGCGTATTAATAAAGGTTAAAGTTATACGAAATCGAATGCTTAATTCAAACTTGATATAAACACGTAGGTACTATTAATTAACTCCTTTACAACGGGGACTTCGACCTAACTCGAATAGCGATATCTATACATAAAAAGAGTTCATTCTTTCATTCGGTTCCCACGTTATTTTTTGTTAGAGAGTCCGATAAGGGGAATAGTATACCCTTTCTTAGTACTGTAAACGACCGTGGGCCCTTATTTATTGCTAATAGATTTCCGAACGGTAAAGTATCTAACTATGTGTGCATCTAAATAAGGGGACTATCCACTTAATGCAATCTTCCAAAGAGTAGATTAAATTTAATTAGTTTTATAAAGGCGATTCTTTAGAAAGCCAACTGTTGTGTTACAAAAGGATATCAAAAGGAAAAAGACAATACATCCTTAGTTTTAACATATTAAATGAGCCCAAAGTACAACTTGTTAGTATATAAAAGTATATTTGTTATTTAGTTATAAATAAAGATGTATTTATTGTACGACCCGAATAGCGTAGTGGTATACTTGCCTCCTCAGAGATTGTGAGTTCGATGCCAACTACTGGAAAAATATTGTGTGATGAACATAGTGTATTTCCTGTGTCTGGGTGTTTATATATGTATAATATTTATTTACAAAAGAAAAGTGAAATATTTCCAAACTCTTTGGAAAATATTGTCTTATATAAATATCGAATATTTCATTTAGGGCCATGGACCGATTTCTGGCTGCTGTGTATGTTCGTGAGTGACAGTATCATTTAATACCAAGTGAATGACACGCTTCTTCGCCACCTGACCAGAGCTGTTTGTGCTTTAGGTGCGGGCAACGCGGGTGGCAGCGCTGTGACAGGTGTAACGCGACGTGGAAGATGCAAATGGTTCAACGTGGCTAAAGGATGGGGCTTCATTACACCAGACGACGGCGGACAAGACGTCTTCGTACACCAGGTATGGATATTTTTGAAGTTATACTTCTTCTAGAGCCTTTGGAAAAAAATATGAGCCAAAACGCGACATGATAAGTTGGTTGCAAAGCGGTCGCTCTTTCTTCATCAACTTGACAGTATTACCATGGCTACCAATTAAAACTTTTTTTAATTTACCTATTATTACCTTACCTTAATTTACCAATTTATATAATTAAACCGATTTCATTTAATTAGAAAAAAATACACTTACGCCCGGTTTCTGGAACACTGATCAAACATGAAACATCGTAGAAGTCAACTAATAAGCTGCGAAAAGGCTTTTCAAATTATTTGAGTTGCCAAAAGGTTTGTTAATCTCTCAGAATTATTTATAATGATTTCTGATTAGTTGACTTCTACAATGATCAGTGTTTCAGAAACCGGGCGTTTAAAATTTAGTTATTTTCTTTTGTAATAAGTTTATTTTATAAATAACTATAACTTCTTACGTGCGTACGTAAATAAACACATACTTTTTTCACAGGACCTACTCTTTTAATGTTGGCAACGTATCTATAACCCGTCAGATGTTAAAGTTGTAGGGTTGCAGAAGCATTGCCACCTCTTAATAATATGGACTCCGACTATCTCACTCACCACACGTAACGCAGAAGTATACGTACACGTCCATTTCACCCCGATCTTCTGTGAGGTTGTGGTACCCCCTTAGATGGAACCCTATGCGTGCAATAGCTAAGACCGTTGCGCGCCCCCACGCGCGGGTTTTAGGGTTTCTAAAATTATAAAGTAAAACACAAAAATCTAAACTTGAAGTCGGCAAATCATAATAATGCAATTATAAATAGGTTATTACTAGGAGTAGGTGTTTAAAATGTTCATTATTATTAAATCTCACTGAACTATTGAGCATTTTACAAGTCTGTAAATTGATAGCGACAAACTCATATTTCATTATCTAAATTTGTCTTCTTCACTTTTGCTTCCTTTGTGAGAGGAATTTTCATTTAGTATTTAAGATTTTCAGCTTGAAATAGGGAAGAGAAAATATTTAATTATTGTGAAAAAAATTAAAAAGGTGTATGTTTGATTAATTTAACTGCCATATAGGCGTCTTGATACAAAATATTAGCATTTTAATTACAAATTTAAAATTTAAATTTTTACGATCAATTTATACTTTACATGTTGTTGTGCATGGTAAAGCTTTTAAGATCACACTAACTTCTAGTTTAGTTAAGGTGAGTTAAAAAAATATTTATAATATTATATATATACTCTTCATATACTAGTTTCGTTGACTACGTCAAAATAAAAATACTCATTGGTCTACCAAATAAATCTACTTGATTTTCTTTACATAAATATGTAAGAAAAATCACCTTCTTTCTGAAATTGTATGGATAGCATTCAGTCCATAAAATACATTGTTTATGATTAGGTTTGATATAAATTGGAGGAGGATGCAAGAAGTCTTGCTTCTTGCATCAAAAACGATTATTTTATTTTTATTTTAAAATGAATAAATGAAGCAATAAGAATTTACTTTAAAACTTTTAGTTTATCATTATATATATCATTAAATATTTTCGTAAAAAACGAAACATTAAAATGAACAATGGCAATGATAATAATTATAATACATTTGGTGTTTTTATATTTATATGTATCATTGAGAATTTGAAGTCGATAGATATAATTATTGTTCGTTTATAAATTATCGGTAGGGGGGAAAATATGAATCCATTCAGAATACACGCTGCCGTATCTAGCGGTTGACCTGATAGTGCGCTTATTTGTTTGTTCGGCTTATCAAGGCCGGATGTTTTTTCTATACCAAACGCCACCAAATTTGTACTTCGCTCCGCTGCAACGGCGCTAGCGGTAAAATTTATATTAGGTCAAGACTATGTTATTGGTCGTTGATAAGGTTTCGTTTTTCTCGCGACTTACTCGTTCCCACTCGAGATAATGTTGCGTTGTCGCAATACATATAAATAAACGCTCACCGTATTATTTGAATATTATTTGTCATTCAGTTTTTTTATGTGACAAAATGGCAAACGAGCTGGTGGTTCAACTGGTGGTGAAGTGAAAACCACCGCCCAAAGACATTTACAACACCACACAAACTTTGCAGATGCGTTGCCACCTTTTAATAAAGTGGGCCCCGGCTACCTCACTCATCAGATGAAACGCAGCGTGGCCCTACCACAGTTGAACCACTAATGATCTATGTTGTCTTTATCATTCTAAGCATTGAAACGTCTTTATACCACGTGTAAACTGTAATCTATATTTGATATGTACGTTGAAGGGTAATTTTTAATTGTTAATTCCAGAGTGTCATTCAAATGCCGGGCTTTAGATCCTTGGGAGACGAAGAAGAAGTGGAATTCGAGTGCAAAGAGTCAGAAAAGGGCTTGGAGGCAACTCGTGTTTCTGGGCCATCATCAGTAGACTGCCAGGGCTCGCATCGTCGCCCGTTGTCTAAAAAACGCTTCAGGAAAATACGGTACTTTTTATAAGTTTTGCCTTCATTGCAGTTAGTAACGAATAACAAAAGGTACAATAAGAACAATTAAAAAGCCTTTGCTATATAATTAGTGTGACTAGACTTTATTAACTGGGATTCACCATAAATCTACGGCTGATCCATCATCAAGCGTTGAGACAGAAATTTAGTAGAAATTGTCTTTAGCGAAATTGGCTATATTGCAGTTAGAACAGAATAACAAAAGATACATTAATGACAACTAAAAAGTCTCTACAATAAGGGTGACCAGGCTTTAAATGATCTGCACACTACATCTACAGTTGCTCCATCACTAAATTTGTGGGACAAATTGTCTTAGCGAATGCCCCGTGATGAGTTGTTAATTTTTCGCTTTTTGTCAGATATGTCTATTCAAATTGTGGATGTAAATGCTGAAAAGGCGCATGTTTATTACAGCTGCTATAATTGCGGAGAATTCGCCAACCATATAGCCGCCAAATGCAGCGTTGGTCCACAACCAAAGAGATGCCACAATTGCAAGAGTGAAGATCATCTTATTGCAGACTGTCCTACTAAGGTATAACATGGTTAAATCCTTTCGTAATAGTACTGATCCTTATTTCAAATTCAAGGCAGAATTAACTTTCATAAAAAAAGTTTCTTAAAAAATAAACACTTCTCATAAAAATATTTTTACTAGACAGTGGGCCTAGCTTGCGAGCTTTTTCTTGATTTTTTTTATGTGAAAAGTTGAAAAGCGAGCAGGCGGTTCACCTGATGTTAAGTGAATACCGCCGCCCATGCACATACAGCTATATCCGAGGGATGCAGATGCGTTGACAACCTTTTAAAAATTGGGCTCCGCCCACCTCACTCACCGAACGAAACGCGAAAGTATTATACTTCCACTTTACGTCGGTCTTCTGTGAGGTCGTGGTTCTTACCCGGACGAGCCTGCCCATTCGTGCAACAGCCGGGACTGCTGCGTGGCTCTCCCACAGTAAAGTTCCTTCAGTTTCTTGAACCTTCACTTTTGCGGTATATCGACAGTGGTGTCTTGAATCTGAGAGTGAATCTGAAGCGACTTATGTCATAAATATGAATTAATACTATATATGTATATTCGTCATGTCATAACTAGCGACCCGCTCCGGCTTCACACGGGTGCAATATACGTATAAACCTACCTCTTGCATCACTCTATCTAGTAAAAAAAGTGTAGTTTTAAAGATCTAAGCATACATAGGGACATACAGACAGCGGAATGACTTTGTTTTATACTATGTAGTGATGTCATAAAATTGATTGGCCCTGAATTTATTTATGCGTGCCTTTATTTTTTTAATTATTTCTTTTGTTCTTTTATATTTATAATGTTTAATTAATGTTTTGTAAGTTCTCATTACCTTGTCTTGTTCAAGTTCTTGGGAAAAAATATTGTATATTTAAACTCTTTTCATCGTATTTCTTTCGTTACCGCTTGTTGTTTAGAACACTCAATATTAGTTGTTATAAGTTCAATGCTTTGCGCCTAGACCATGCAATAACAGAGACGTGTAATAAAAGCTCACAATTCAGTGTTAAATTTTAGGTGGAAAAGAAGAAAGAGGAGTCGCAATCGAAGAGCTCCGGCAGCTCCTACGGCAGCCAACAGAGCAGTCCCCAACAATCGTAACGTGCTCGTTATTTTCGAAGTTTAAACAATGATAACCGAATAATACCAAACATATATTAACAGAAACCAAACATATATGAACAGGGCGCATTATAATGTACGTTCCAATATCAGCCATTTTCGTGAGATCATTTACAATGTTTTATGCATATTAGATTTTTATTCCTAAAACAAACAGAACTACCTCATTTTTAATATTTTATCTAAATAAGAAGACTGATGAGTACAAATCAATTAATTAGTACAAAACTATTTTAACGCTTAATTTTTTTTAAAAAAATAAGTTTGCATACGTAACTTAAGTACAAAGTTTGTGTTCGAGTGACGATACCATAATTAATTTACATATATTTTATACCCAAAGTTAAGTGTGTGTTTATGTAATTATTATTAATTTTGTTACTATATTCTATTATGACTTTATGTTACTTTTAGAATGTAATTAAATTTATAGATTTATTATGACTGGCTATGAATATAGTAATAATTCAATTCATGCCATGAATACGTTGACAACTTGAACAAGCATAATTTGCAGGTGAGCCATCTAAATATTATATTGAAACTCCTATTTTATGGTAATAATATTTTTAAAGTAGATGGAATTCCAAGTCACTCACAGATGACTTTGCTGTTTATTCACTCCTTGTACTGAATTGTCACGTTACAATGAGAGTATTTGATGGTTGCTTTTATATAGTTGGATCATTTTGTTATTCATGCAGTAAAACTAAAGTAAGTCAGAAATGATTCCCGAGTATGCGTGTATGAATTTATTAATTTACTTGTATTGAACCATCATTTCCTCAAAAAATCACAACACGACAGACATATCTCTTTTTAAAATACAATAAAACTGTAAGAGGTTTCAAAATAGTATTAGCAAAGAATGTAATTACTGTTTATACTTACTAAATGAAAACTACTTAAATTAAATATTACATTTTACGTATTGAGGAAATTGTGCCCTTAAACGATGAAATAATTATTATTCTAACTATACCTTTACAACGTTATAAGTTTTATTAGAGTTTATAAGATTTAACATCTAAAAATATTTCTCTGCAAAATATTATTGAGAATTTGATTATTCCAAGTATATAAAGACATTTGAAATTTTTACAATACAGAATAAAAGAAACTACTCGAGTGTAGTTGCTATACATTATGTGCCAAAGTAAAATTGATGTAGTTGCAATAATTATTTTTACTTAGAAAGTATTTTACAATTATTGAGCTTAGTTTATTGAGCTTACCTTTATATTTGTTGTTTTGTTTTCAAACGTTTTGAAGCAGATGATTCAGTTCAAACATTTTACCTTGCCTTGCTCAATGTCTTATAAATAAGATAAAATTGTAATTACTTTATATAGGGTACATAAAAGTTCACTGTTTTACACTAAGCGATATATATATATATATATATATATATATATATATATATATATATATATATATATATAATCAATAATCCTGTAAAATTTCAGAACTGCTTAATTGTGGACCGAAATACCGATTTTGTAGTATCAGTCGTGTGCGTCTATTTATTCGCAATCTATTTATGTTAAAAAATGTTTATCAATGACCCATCGATTCCTATTTTAAGTTTGACTAACTTTAGAGAGTAGTTTTAAAGGAAAGAAACTAACAAAGTCGTTGAAATCATGGCCTGATAACTTGCTCTATATCCACAAAAGTATTGCTAGAGAAAAAAAAAGACAAAAACTCATCACAGAGTTTTGTCTTTTCAATAAATTTCCGCCTTTATTTGACCCCCAAAAACATAAGAGATGTTTTGATGCTTAATTTTATACTATTTTAGTATTAACATTTCTTTAGGGAATAAAATATAACATTTGCCAATTCAACAAGTCAAAGTTAGTATAGTTTTTTTTAAGTTCCATGAAATAATTGTTCAAATGTTTGCATCACGACTAGTAATTTAAAACAAAGAAAAGTTATGTCAGCGGAAATTGTTCAATTCGAATTTTCTTAGTCACCAACAATGAAGTAACTAAATTTTTATCTGCAGAACATTTAAGGTATTATGAATACGGGTTTCTTTAGATTTTAATTAATGAATCGTAGTTTAGTTATGTTTAAGAACATTAAGACTAATTGAAATCATCTACCTCATAATTTAATAAAATTAAATAGAGTATATTGATAAGTTTATATTATTAACATAAAGTCTAGCTCTTATTTTCACCATTCTATTTTTGCTGAATGCCGAATAAGTGTAGGTTTTGTATTTCTTATTTTTAGAGTTTAAATTTTGTTTTTATTTTTTTTTATTTTTCAAAGAAAAATAAATGATAAAAAGTGAAAAATATGTTTTTTTTTAAATAATCCCCATTTAAGTTATACCATTACATTTCAGGATAAGTCCTGACCCTTATTGCATTCATTAAAACTTATAACAATTACAGTTATAATGGAAAAGACGACCACTTATCTAGACCTTTATCTTAGTCTTTATCCTAGCATAAACTTATGATACCTTCGTTTGATGTCAGTTGCATAAGGTACTACTTGTAGCCAATTAATGTGATGACTCCGCGGCGCAATTGTGTTCCGTGGGTTGTTGGTTCGATTCCAGCACGGGACAACTATTTGTGTGACCCACATATAACTATAACGGATAAGGGTGTTTGTCCACGTGAACTTTGTTTGTAAAACATCCTTACAATGACGACCCAAATGGTGTAGTGGATAGTGACCCTGTCTCTTGCACCAGAGGGTGTGGGTTAGATCCCAACTACTGGAAAAATATTGTGTGATGAACATAGTGTATTTCTAGTGTCTGGGTGTTTTATATATCTGTACCATGTAAATACATGGTACAGATATAAAATAAATATTTACAAGAAAAGTAAGTAAAAGTGTGTTTATCAGTTACCTTGTATCCATACTACAAGCTTTGCTTAGTGTGCATGTATAATAAAATCCCACAGTCGATATTAAGTCTGCCACTTGATGAATTTAAACGAAAAGTTAAAAGTAAACTTGTCTAAAGCATATTATACTATTGCTGAATATCTTGACGACGCTAATGTGTGGGGTTAATACTGTTGATACTCACCTGGGATAAAAGAAGACTATTATACCTGTAACATTATATTGTAAACTGACCTTTTAAAAAAGAACAACTGTTGAGTTTCTTGCCGGTTTCTTCTTAACAGAAACTGCTTTCCGAATCGGTGGTAACTTACGAACATATTAATTTCCTTGTAAAATTTCCACGTTTTATAAGAACGCGTAAGCGTCTTTGTGAATAAAGATATTTTATTATCATGATTTATTATTTGGTTCTAGATAACTCTGTGTAAATAATGTAAGGGCAATGTTAAAAAAAATATATGTTATTCTACATATTTCTTTTACATTGCCCTTACTTATTGTACTTAATGACAATGTTAAAAAAATACAAACTGCGACTCGAACTGGTGCACGATGGATGCCATACCGTTATATCCCACGGATACGAAAATTATGTCTGTTGTACGGGGGCCCATCTTAATTTTTTTTATTCTGTTTTTTAGTATTGTTGTTAAAGCGGTAATAGAAATACATCATCTGTGAAAATTTAAATTATCTAACTATCTGATCGGGCCTTCAGCACGGAACGATATTTGATTGTTCCTAAATCATCTAAATTTCATAAAAATATATCTAATAGCAGATAAGGCTTAAAATCAAGAATAAGGTTTAAATTTTTTTTCTTATTCCGGAAAATGTAACAGACTTCTGACAAACAAAAATAAAATAGAAAAAATTATTCATAAAATTGTCGAAGTACGCTTAAAGATCATAGTAATTACTACAGCTAAATTTATGCTCTATACTTTTGGTACATAATGAGATGAAATAATTTGTATAATTCTTGATATAATAAATAGAAAATGTCATGAAACGTTGTTTACACTGAATGCAATGCCAAAAATCTGTAAAATATGTAAATTTGCAAACATACAAGAAAAAATATGACTTAAAAGTTGTGGAAAATAAGTATATAATTAATGTGCAAATATTCATTTTTGTCTATTTTAATTATAAGAAAATAATAGTATATAAAAATAATAATAATATTATTTAAATGTTAGTGATTAGGTGGACTCTAAACTCATTATCAAATCATCAAATGATTGAACCAATATAATGCTCCTAATATTTTACAGGTAAAATTGAAAGTAAAATAAATTAGTCGTACGTATATAGTAATAATCTGATATTCGTATCAGTATAATGTGTTCTGCGGCAAAATACCGCGAGTAGAGCATTACAGTCCTTGGCTACGTAGGGCGGGTGGCGCGAGAGATGTCACGTTTTTCATCGAAGCCGGGCGAAGAGGCGCTCGGAGGATGCAGCAGTGCGGGGCGCAGCTCTTCTCCCCCCCCCCCCTTTCTCAGCCGAGTTCGCCCCGCGACCCTTCTAGGCCCCCCGACCCTCGCCCCTCGCTGACGTAACGCTGCCGAGTCCGCCCGCCCTAGTGTGTGTCGCGCCGCGCTCCGACTGCCCGAACGGCATCCTACTTACGCGCCTTACAACACATCAGTGCTTATCACTTGACGTTTCTCATCTTGGCCTCCTGATTCGGTACTAAGCTCGTTAGCAGAACGTGGTGCTTGAAGCAGTTCATACACTCATCTCCTACGCCACCGTATTAGACGTAGCGATCGACACCGCCCCGCAGGCCGGATGCATCGCTGTCATTCTTCAATAAATCGTCGTTAACAGCGTTGCAAAATTTTATTCGTCGACGTTATATACCATGTTTGATAATGGCCCGTTTTCCTTACTTCAAAAATAATGAACCACTAATCCATTTATTGGAACGTTGCTGAACGCCATCCGTGATGTTTAAGATATATCTGTGAAAATAACTCTTGTGTATCTTTCAATAAAGAGTACATTTCTGTTTAATGAAATATATACGAATTGTGTAGTGTTTTATGTAATATCGATAGTGCTTTTTAACTAAACACTGCAGCAATTTAGTATGTTTATAAAGTTTATGTAATACGGAAAATAGGAAGTAACGAGTCTATGCACGTCACTTCGGAACGTGGGCGAATAGGGAAGTATTGGCAAATTTGTATTTAGATAAAAAAATAATTTCTACCCATACATGACAGATATATCTTAACCGTTTGTGATCTTAGTATAACGTGAGATACCACATAATATTTTTAGTAACGGATATTGCATTCGGACAATAATTTGCATTAATGTGCTTATGGTAAGTTAGTTGATACTGATTCTGGCATCGTTCGTATGTAGTTGACGACAAAGCTTTTAGATATTAGAGCTATCATATTATGTTCTATATATCCATATCGAGCTTACCGAGCCGATTCACTCGATAATTGATTACTAAGAACCTCATTCATCGTCATGTAGGTAGATATTCACTTGTTATAGAAGCATATCATGGCATTAACTTGTAAAGTCAACAATGTTGTACAATTATTGTACTGTGACAGTGGAGGTTACGTTTGAACTTTGTGAATAATCAGGGATTTATGAGTTTCATCTATTTCTTTTACTGAATGATTTTTAAGATTTAAAGTAAATTTATGTAAATTAAGTTTAGTTCTATAGATACATGTTGCCCATATAAATAATTTGATTTTGAAAATTAAATTTAGTTATTGATTTTTAAATCGGATTTTTAAAATTTTTAAATGTAATATGCTTAAATGCAAATTCATACCTGAATATGTTAAAACAATATATAAAAAACAGAAATTCTCAAGTAAACATTAAGTTTTCCACAAAATGCTATATCAATAATTTAAGTCCAAAACTAAATTTATACTAAATATATTAAGAGTTTCTTCATGGTAATAACAAAGCTTTCTTGGAAATAGCATTACTTTCATACTCTGTGTACATTAAGGGATATCAAAGGCGTGTGCTGTCTTCACAGATGCTTTGTAAGCTTGTCGATTGCAGTAATTTATCTTTTGTTAGAAGTATACATTATTAGCTAGAATAATCACTTCTATATTTCTTAGTAGTAATGTCGACTTTCTCTATCTTTCGTGAAATCAGTCTAATAGAAGCAAAATATTTGTAGTCTCGCTCAAATATATAGTTTTACAAAAAAGTTATCTTTTTACAAATTAGATGCGAATATAATATACATGTATCATTATTTAAAAATAATCTATAGTGATTAGATTTACTTTTTAAATTTTTCGGAAACGTGCATGAAAAAATCGCTGTCAGTGAATTTTCGCTAGATTCGTTTCATTAACACATTGAATATTTGACTGATAGGAAAGCATTAAAACTTAACCAAAGCCACGCAACTGTCTTCGTTGTGCCACGAATAGGTAGGTCGGTCCCGGTAAGTACCACGACCTCACAGAAGACCGGCGTGAATTGCAAGTTCTACAATTCTGTGTAACGTCTGGTGAGTGAGGTAGCCCGGGTCCACTTTATTAAAAAGTTGCAACGCATCTGCAATTCTAAGGGTGTTGCAAATGTCCATGGCAGCGGATAATACTTAACATCAGGCGAACTGCCAGTTAGTTTGCAACCTTCTCACATAAAAAATAAATAAATTCAGAATGCCGTAAATAACCAAGTGTCCATGTAAAGACCATGTTGAGTCACCTCTAAGCGGATAGAGTATAATGCACTACAAAACTGCACAACTGGTTTAATATTTTAGACCTTACGAAAAGAATAAACTTTGAGAAAAATTCAAAGCAGATCTGGTCTATTGTGTAATAATTTGCGTTTATATTTATGTAGTAATAAAATATTTGAAATACTATTTTAGATTTGAATCTATATCGTGCGAAATAACTTTGGTAAGGTCAACATTATGGAAAAAATGTCATACTCACATTTGTGATCAATATGACAGGCTTTCCACTTATTACGTGGGTCTTGGGTTCGGGGGAGATTTACATTAGATTTATCGGACAGAATTCATCGTCAAGAAGAGGAATTATTTCAAATAGTGTTCGTGAACGGATTTCATTTATTTTACCGACCAATATGCTAACAATAGGTATATATAGGCATCGGAAATGTAGTATAATAAAATTTGATAAGCGTCGTTACAAAAATATCTTGATTGTAAAACCACTCTAAGTACGTAAAAACATATCATTAAATTGGCAAACCTTTGTCGTAGAAATTTCATATTTTATGAACTGAAATAAAGAGAATATTTTTTTCTTTAATTTCGAAGTACAACAATCTAAAACCTGTGAATATGTTTCAACATATCACATAATATTAATTTTCAGGGCTGACTGGAGTATGTTGTTATTGAACTTAAAGGTTAGTAGTAAACTGTATGAACAGGCTTACATTTTTATCTGAGATTCAGACAGTTTATTACTATAGCCTTTATACTTAAAACTCACAATTGATGATATATTCAACATAAGTAAATAAATGAAGCCAATCTATTTAATCTAAAAATTGGTTAAAAATATGACCAATTTCCACGGTACCCATGTTAGAAATAGGACATTTTTCTACCATTAAAATCGTCGTGAAAACGTCCTAAAATTACTGTTCGAAAATGAATTTTCCTCACTTCTCATCGAGCGAACTAACTGTAAACTATGTAACTGGGTGAACAAGACAATTATATTTGTTTTAAAATATTTTTACGATAAAGAACAAAGCAAAATTTAATAAAATTTGTTTTGAATGTCCCTTCCCTTCTCATTATAACTTAATTTAAAAATAATTATATTAATTACCGTGTAGAGCTTATCTGAAGAGAGCCGTTGCAGTTTCCGTTGGCGTAAGCATTTTATCTTTTACCCACTAATATAACTACACGGCTTAACTGCACGCAAGTACATTCAGGGGAAATTGCCAGCAGTTTCTTGACATATAAATATGTATGCACACTCTTCGAATTATAAGATGCCGCATATAGAACACACTGAGTCTAGTGCAGCAGTGCCAGCCCAAAAATGGCAGAAGTATTGCGCATATGATCGGACTTTCTCTTTATGAAGAGATAGAAACTGCTTACGTGAAAGTTCACCACACTTTTGCAAAGACCCCCAATTTTCTTACTGCTGCTTTGGCCCTGGACTCTATAAACCGGCCGAAGCTAAGATTAAAGGAGATCTAAATACCCAGCGTTTAAAGGCACTGGGAGTATTCTAACGGTACATAAGAAAAGTAGGTGCCGAGGTGAACGAGCTTGCAGTAAAAGACGCCACACCTGGGCTTTGGTGGCCCTGAGACACAAGAATAGCGTTGCTCCAATTGGAGACTGCTTGCAATGTGAGATTCTCACGCTCTAATATGGCAGATCATTCATATGCAGCAAGAAGAGAGATGCTGAAAGGACGGAACTCTGAGCAAAGTCCGCAATGGTCGTCACGGTCTTGATAGTACTGCTATCAACGATAACACGAAGAGAACCACCGCTCAGAAAGTCCTACATCCAACCGATCAGGCCAGGATATTTGCTGTAACCTGCAAGCTTGCTTGTAACGCTACCGTGCCAAACTTTGTCAAAGGCCTTCTAGATATTAAGGGAATCAGTAAGTGCTACTCCATTCTTCTCCAGGGTCTCGCCCTGAAGAAGACTGGCATACACTAGAAGATCCCCATTCGATCGATTTCAGCGAAATCAGCACTAACGGTCCCTGAGAAGTTCATTTTGCCAAAAGTGTGCCATGAAGCGCGGACGCTCCATTATCTTATAGTGTACTCAATTACCGGAGATAGGTCTGAAGTTTGTAAGGTCAAGACGAGTTCTTCTAGCATATAGGAGACAGAGGTGGAATAAACGTGTCAAAACAGGAGGCAACTGGTGCACAAGCCTTTGGAACTATGGCTGGTATATCAATTCACTGACTTTTACCCGTCCAACCGGCTTTCACCAGAGTCCGGAAAGTGCTGCTGTCAGATGGTTTAGTCGAGAGGCAATACGTTGAATACGGTCGCAAAGTTCGTACCCAAAATTTATCAGCTGTTCAGACCCATCAGTAATATGATGAGTAGGTGGATAGTGAAAACCGACAACCCATGATGTGGCCTACAATCTGCTCAGCTAGACACGTGTAGAGCATCGGAGACCAAGTAGACTCCTAAAGTGGCACGCAGTTTCGAGCCCAAAAATTTTAATGATAAATGACGATTAATAAAACCTAATAATCATTTTAACGGTAATTACAATCCCCGATACGAGAGTAACAACTCTTCAAACGGTCAAAGGCTCACATCTAATAAAATCAAACGTTTTTACGGGGCCGGTGCTGCCTGCGAAACTTAAGAAATGAGTCTAGGGCCACGGGTGCCGTGCTCGTTTGTTCGCACACTCGCTGACCTATTTAGGTGATTTTAATAACGACTGTTTAAATCTTAACATAACGTAATTAAAGGTAAATAAGTCGGAATGTGCAACTTTTTCTTTAATAAGAGATAAACTCGTTTAATATTTATATAATGTATTCGTTGAGGTCAACACCTTGTCAAATAAACGATTGTTTATGATATTATAATATCAGTTTCAAGGATCCTTTTGCAGTCATCAGCTTATTCTCAGGAAGCTTCAGTTTATATATGACGCATCCAAGGCAATATCCGACGTAATACACTTCCAGTCAACCGATTGTAACTTTGGCGAACAATAATATTTCAATAAAAATAGCGATTTCCTCGTTCAAGAAACACACGTTATGCGAATGCTTATCACGGTTTAGGGCCGCGGAAATCGATAACCTCTACCGGTTACCTGATGCACGTATGTAGCGTAAGATATTTTGGAGGCCTAAATATCTCAATAATAGTGCGGATACTCGGTAAAATGAAACCTACAAAGCCCTGAAGTACGCTAACATTACGATTGTAATTAAATTGTCTGCGGCTAAACAAATCTAAGTAACGTTCCATTTCCAATGTCAGAGTGGGACAAAAATTTAGAAAAATCCAAAACTGTAATTTCATTATTTCATCACTTATTTTAAAATTATAAAAGATATTTATTTTGGGAAATTTTATAATCTAAAACAATGTTAATAAAAAAAAAACTGAACAGTAAATTTTTGATTGCTTTAAAAGATTCATAGATTAAAAAAAAGAATTTTAAAATCAATTTTAATATATATTATATCAAAACAAATAGTTATAATAGAACTACGACAAAAATTACTGTAATGAAATATGACTGCAGGAATCATGTTAATACACTCCTACAAATATACCAATGGATCCGTCCATTTGCCATACTCTACATATATATTGTAAAGTGCAAGGTAAAAGAATTACAATTTAATTTTAAGAGTTGCAACAATTTGCATTTGTTAATTCATATTTTACCATACATTTCTATTACATTTATCCCTTCTGCTGTACTATACCTAATAATATTTAATATACCATTAGGTATATTAAAACG